ATAGGAAAAGCTGACTACCATTCCCAGGAGATATTTTGAGAAAAGTAGTTTATGCCACAATCATGATATTCTTGGACCTTCTGCACTGGCTGTGGAATGTAGGTCATACAGGGCTGTAACATCAACATATTCCTTCTGGATCTTAATGTAATAAAATGATTCTTTTTAAGTTAAGATCCAGAATGGATATTCAGTATTGTGCATTAAAAAGCCTTCTGAGTTGCAATTCATTCATTCATTCATTCATTCATTCATTCATTCATTCATTCATTCATTCATTCAATTTGGATGCCACTTGACTCCAACTGACTCTGGACAACTCACAACATTAAAAAAAATGCAGAAAATTAACCCAAACAGTACAAAAATAACTACCTAAGATGGCAATCCAACAACAAAGCAATACAACATTAAAAACAGGGGAGTCCTTAATGCCTGAGTGAATAGCCAGGTCTTTAACGCTTCCCAGAAAGTCATCTGACTGGGAGCCATACAGATCTCAGGGGACTTCATTCCAGAGGGCAGGCAATACTACAAAGATGACACTGTTTAATCAGAGAGTGCCCACTCTTCCAGATCATATCAAATGGGCAGAAACCATGAAGACAGATGGTCCCACAAATAGCCAGGCCCTATGTCATATAGAACTTTATGAGAAATATCCACCACTTTGAATTGTACCCAGAAGCATGCTGGCAACCAGTGCAGAGGTGTCACATGGGCTTGCCAAGGCAAGCCCATTACTGCTTGTGCCACTGCACTCTGGACCAGTTGAAGCTTCTGAGTGGTCTTCAAGGACAATTCCATGTAGGGTATTTTGCAATAGTGAACCATGAAATAAAATGCATGTGTTAAGGAATACAGTTTTGAGAATATGTAAGGGGATGGGCAGAAATTCTTAAAGGTAGAATGAGTTATTTGGGCATTCTTTTAAGGTAATGCTGAGGAAATGTTACTTGGGCAGACAAGAACATAAAGATATGCTGAATTACAGCCATTCCTCTTAATGACTAAGTAGGCAAAAGATATATTTGCATGACTTGCTGGTCCTCTGGGTGATTTTAAGTAGATCAGCAAGGCTTTCTGACTCCCAATTGTTCAACAGCCTCAAAACCAAAGAATGTTTCCCCTTCATTTAAATCTGGCTTGCTGAAATGAAAAAAAAAAAAAAAGCTGGAATGAATTTCTGGATGGCTGAATCACTTCTAGTACTCAATATAGGGCTGCATACTGAGAGTTTTGACATGTTAAAAGTAAGCGTTTTGCACATAAGGATTTGAAGTTGATACTATTTAAAATATATTTAATGCAAAGTTTACTCACAGCAGTTGTCTTTATGGAGCTCTATTTCCATGCATGGCTTGAGCACAGATGCAAACTCTCTAATCCTGGATGTTGTGCTAAACATATGCATATATGTTTATGCATATACATTCATCCCCATTACACTGCAGAGTATATATACTGTTTATAAAGGTGAATGTGTCTGTTCTCTCTTTCTACATGTCCAAAAGAGATTGCTTCAGGGAAAGAGTTTGGATTAAAGCAAAACCAGATGGAATGGTGATTTTTCAGGGACATTTTAGTCCCCCAAAACAAATTCTCTTTCAGCAGATTTTCAGGAAGGTTTAAAAGACGGAAAATATTTAGACATTGTGCAGTGGTGGTACAGGGAGAGGATGTGTCCCCGCTGCTTGACAAGCTGGACTGCTGTTGTGCTGAGACAGTGTGTGAATCATACTTCTTATCCAGCTTGTGCTGCGGTCTCACACATCTGGCCTGCTGCTTCATCTTCAGTGACATCATTACTTAGGCCACGTTTGCATTTAACACTTACATATGATGAACTTAACCATGTGTCCCTCAATTAATTTCGTTATCTGAGTTTATATAATACACTGAACAATAAACTAGGTACATTGATTTGATCTGCACAAACTAAGCTACAAGGTCATTAGCTAGTTTATGGTTTGGTGCACTACAGTATGTGATACCTTAACTTAATTATGCTTGTTGTCTCACTTCTGATTGCTTGTGATTAGACAGTGGAGGGGGAAAATAAGGTTGACATAGTGGTGAACAGTATACTGTTATAAAGAAAGCTTACGAGGTTCCTCTCCAAGCTGGGAATAAACACACAGGCGGTTGCTTGAAGGAGGAATCCCTTTTATGGGGAAGATCCTTAAAAGGTGCTAAGGGAAACCCGCTCTCTAGGATTTCTTAGAAAAGCTGATTGGCTGGGATTCCAAGGGAGGGGGCATTCCAGTGAGGGTGTAATTGGCTAGGTCTTAGAAGGGAGTGTTCTAAGGTCAGGCACTCTATTGAGCTGGGATTTCCTGTGTTTTCCTTATCTGGTTTTGTCTAATTGGGATGTAGATCTCTTTGGGAAGAAATCTTTTTATGATTCAATTTTTGGGTTTAAGGAATGTTGGCCCTTCCTGCCAGGTCTTTAGTTATTTAATTTTGGGCTAGGGTGGAGGACTCTTGATTTTTTCTGTTGCATCTTAATCTTTTTAGGTGAGCCCATTCTTACTATAATTTAGCCATATGCTTTGATTGCTGTTTAAGATAGACAATGGTCAGGTGAGACAAATGGGAAGCTTTGACATGGGGTGGGGGGGAAGAATTTGATTTCCTTCTCACAATACAAAATTACCAAAGTGGTGCAAATTGGAATTTGCACTGTAAATGTTTGTCCATTAGCTTTTGGGACTTTTTATGTAACTGCAGATATTTTCTGGGTATAGTTCTTTTTTTTTTACATACTTTTCTATGATGAAAGAACTATTCCCCCACCCACCCATTCTCCCCTCATTCAAATCTACTTGATTTGTCCCTATACTTACTTGTTTTCTTCAGGCTATTATAGGATGGAATAAAGGTCTTTTACTGTCCTTTGTCAGAAAATGTTGGCAGTCAAAGGCTCTGTTTTATTCATTATAAATTATTTGAGTTCTAGCAGATGATCCCCTGCCTTTTCATGCAGCCATTTTGTTTCCCACTGATTTCAGCTGCCAACACAACAAACCCCTTATATTACAGTTAGACAGGTGGTTTTGGAGAATATAATTCCAATTTCTGGAAATATAATTCATTCTCACATTCCAAAGTACAAGGTTTTTGTCTGTGTAAGACACAGTGACAAACCTGCCTATTGTAACCATCTACCTTCTGAGAAATGCTTGCTTTTAACGAACCTGTTAACATAACGTACAAAGTGCGCTAAAGCAAATCATGTTAACAGTGCTACATAATGTTGGGTTTATACTTTTTAAGTATGTAAAATATATAAGGTTTGGAGCACAAAAGTCTAATTTGTTGATATCATACATTTTAAAGGAGCTGCCTCTCTTTTAGTGCTGTATTCTAACCTTCAGTTGAACACTGAGATAGCACAAGATATTCATGGAAATAAAAATAACCCATAAATCTTTTTCACTTGCAAAACTTGCTCTTCCTTTTTTTTTTTTTTTTTATGCCTTTAAGTCAGTTTTTGACTCATGGTGACTGCCTGGACAAGTCCCTGAAATTTTCTTGGCAAGATTTCAGAACTGGTTTGCCCTTGCCTCCTTCCTGGGGCTGAGAGAGAGAGACTGGCCCAAGGTCATCCAGCTGGCTTTGTGCCTAAGGTGGGACTAGAATTCACTGTCTCCCGGTTTCTAACCTATGCCTTAACCACTGCACCAAACAGGCTTTCTGCTCTTCCCTTTATATCATGGCTAAGTTAATAGCCAGCAAAATAGGCTAGTATTCCCGTGTGTGACGTCAGCTCATATTTTTGCTGCCATAGGAGTGGCAAATTTTAGTGGCCCAAAGCACTGTTCATTCTTCATATTTTTATAAAGTTTTCTAGAAGCAAAATGAGCACCCCATTTTATCCCAAAGAAGTTTATTTTAGTAGAGAAACTAATCTAGTAGAACCTGTATCCAACTGGTACAGTCAGCAAAATTACAATCTCTTGAACTGACGTTCTAGTTAAGCCCTTAATGTTTGTATCCATCCTTGCAGAGAACAGTGGAGTGGTCAGAACAGCAGCTCAGGAAGGCTGCCAGTCTGGAAGAGCTCCTTCGGATTACCCACTCAGAGGACTGGAAGCTGTGGAAATGCCGATTAAAACTCAAGAGCTTGTCTACTTTGGATTCCAGATCTGTCTCACATCGTTCCACAAGATTTGCAGCTGCTTTCTATGATATTGAGATGCTCAAAAGTAGGTGCAAAGTTTCCAAAATTAATCTTCTACAGAATATATCAGACTGTTTCTCATGTTCATCAGATATATAAAGCAGTGTATCTGTTATTGTTGTTGTTTGCACAGTCAGCCAGATGTTTGGACTGGATTTGGCCTTTTTATCCACCTAGCGTGTCCT